GAGGGAGATGGAATTTTGGACGAAACGACGCGGGACGCGGACTCGTCGAACGGAAACTTGCATTAATCCGCGGCATTATGCGCTTCCCATTTTCCTCCCTCGTCGGTTCCGCTCCCTCACTATCCGCTTTTCGCTTCATTTCGCCGACTCGCGTTATGATATGGCGATATTTACCGTGATGGCGAACGGCCAAGCGGAGAGAGGCCGGCCATTTGCCCGATGCGCCGATGCACTACGGCCGGACATCGAAAATACGAAGAACGATCGTATATTTCCGTTTTTAAAGCGAACTCCAAGAACGAAGACTCGGGGCGCTTAACTCGCGTGATTAAATTCCACGGAGAACGATTTATCCCGCGTCTTCTGCAATTTGCATCGCGCGACAAGTTATGGTATTTCGGCGATTGAGAAACCATTTCTGTTTCAGTAATTGTTCTCTCTCTTTCTCTTTAAATATTTTTCAAATTTATTTTGTCATTCTTAAAATTTCAAATCGTATATAATTTTATCGAAAATATTGAAAAATATTATTCGTGTTATTAACGTATTGTTGTACGTTAATAACACGAATAATATTTATAAAGTGCAACATGATATGTATAAACTTATACAATACATTACCGTTGTATAAGTTTATAAATATCATGTGGAATTTAAAACAAATAGGTGCTTTTGTTTACTCGCTTTGCCAATAATTAAAAAATTTTGTATTACGTCAGTTTTGTAACTTAATTAAATTTTCTCATTTGTTTGTGAACTTTATCGCGGATGACAATTAAATAAAAATTATTTGCGCATTTACTATGCAGTGCTAAGAAAATTCTAAGATTTCTTAGAAAGTAAGAAGAGCTAAAGTTAAAGTCTTTTCAATTCCAACATTTAATCTGTATTTAGTCAATTTAAGCGAGCAAATCAAAAGAAATTTTGCGAGGTAAGTTTCGTCTTTTAAGATGCGATTCTAACTTTGATAAAATTTTTTACTTCGTGGATCAATTTTGTAAAATTTGTGAAAATTTTCACGGATTACAGAGTCCAATCCCGCTCGATGTGTGTGCAGAATGTGTGACTGATACGAGCTTAAAGCGTTGTCAAGAAAAATTCTTCTTCTTCCACTTGAAGTAGGCTTGAGCCTGTTTTTCCGATTACTTCGCCTCTTGGTCTGAGGCAAACTATCGGTTCTGTGGGCGTTTGGTATTTTTTTTACCGAGGGTAGGTTGCTGCAGGGCCTCGCCCTTGCACCCTCTTCTTTTATCTGAGCTTGGTACCGGCAGGGGTGAATGCCGATTGTTGCGTGCTCCACCCCGGGCGGAGTAAAAGGATATGTGCGTAGCAGAATAATGTCCGAAGAAATCAGCGGTGTTCGTGGACCTGAACTCGGATCTTCTCGTTTATTTGTTTGTTAAGCAGCGCATCTTTCTCCGCGTCACGCTCGTCACCAAAGTTAAGTTAACATTTACAAAATGTAAGTTGTAAAATAAAATTGGCGACGCGACAGAGCTTGCAAGTTGAAAACAGGGCTGCCACAACGCGCACGAGCGGCGTCATCTGACGACGAGGGCGCGAGGCTGCGCAAGGAGAGCTAATCGTCACGAAGGACGTTGTGCAGACTGCTGTAACAATTTTCTAACCTAAAAGGATTGACGCGGTGACGCTCGAGCGTGGTGCGATCGTCCGGAATCTAGTCCTGGGAAGGGAGATGAGCGATGCCGAGCTCCAGGAGGAGGAAAGAGAAGTGTTGCTCTCGATATACGACGGCGACTCAGCTTTTAAACAGCTGACACCCACAACGTTTCAATACAAGGTGCAAGGACATCTTTTGCCTCGTGCCTCCTCCTCAATGAACACCGAACGTCAATTACACTCATGTTACAATTTCTCACTCAACAATGTAAATCTAATACGACACATGCGTTACATTACATTTACACCGTTGAGTGAGAAATTTACCTAGTTTACACCGTTAAATCAATATTTGAAATGTTTAGTCGACCCAACTGGCAGAGTTTCTGTCTAGCAGACTAAACATTCCAAATATTGCTAACTATTTACTGGCGACATCAATCTCTTACTACCGTTAAATCAGTTGACGCGGATTGAACATTCGATACGTCCCAGTTTGTACCGATTAATTTTAAAACGGGTCTGGTCAGATTTTTAGTAAAACTCCAGATAATGTTCTACTGCTGCAAACTGAGCGGCAGTGCCACTGAATGCATCTGAATTTAACAATGTTGCACGAACCAAGTGACTCAAGCGTTTACAATGCGCCAGAATCGTTTGATACGCGTATCAACTTGGTCTGATACTCGTGATACAGGAGTACCAGACCAAAACGCATTTAAGTAATCCACGTGCGTTTATACCGAGCGCATTAAACGACTTGGTACAAATATAGTACTTGATACGTGTATCAAATGCTCGGTGTAAACTAGGTCATTGTAACACATAAATGAGATGTAACTGTTAACCCTTTTTCTATGCATCTCTTCGTTCCAAGTTTGAAATATTTGATTTTACAATTATAAGACAGAAGCGAATGAATAGTTAACATACGCACTGTTAATTTCAGTCGTAAGATATAAATGTTTCTCATTTGCACACCAAAGTAACATTATGTTGAGATAAATTGTACGTATTAGCTAAACAATAATGATTGTTCACACAGTATGGAGAGGACAACGACATGAAGTCATTTCTGCTGGAAATCTCATGGGGCGCAGCATATCCTACAGAAAAACCGACCATCAACATGAATACGTTTTACAATAAACACATGTAAGTGCGGCCGAGCAACCGTTCAACTTTTCTCGCTCACTCGATTAAAGAATAATTGGAATGTACAGTGTGCAAGAGGTGAAGGACAAGGTGGTGAGTCACATAGAGGCAGAGGCTGAGCAGTGGTTGGGTAGCGCGATGACGTATACGTTATTTCAGTCTGTCCAAGAACATTATGCAGACTTAGTCTGCATGCAACCGGACTCAATCGCAGACATAAATTCGCATACCAATAAGCTGAAAATCACGGAGGAGAATCAACAGGTATACACGTTGCATGGAGTATTATTACGATTTACTATTAACCAGTTCAGGACGAATATACTGTAACTTCCTCGCGTGCGCGTTCTACACGTTACTCACACACACTCGCGCTTAACGAAATGACTCGGACTCGGGTCAACGAGAAAGGAGATTTATCGATAAAATACAGCGGAGCGGAGGAGAATCCGTCTTTACTATTACAAAACTTCTCCGGAAATCACGTCAATATCTCCCGTTGCTAAGGAGCGCTCGTCAATCTCCTATCGATTAGAGACTCGATCCAGCTGACTCGCCAGGGTCGCAATAACGCGGGCGCAACAATACTATCAAGAAACACAGTGGCGTTTAGAGGATTTCTCATTTCAAACAGAACACGAGCGTTAAACGCAGCGAGATCATTCAAATGAAAGCCTGGTTTTTGCTTCGATTCGATTGGGTTTTTGAAACAATTCAGAGAGAACTCATTTGCATATCAATTTGGCCCAAGTCTCCTAAAATTCGAAAATTGCTAGTATCATAGAAGTAAGTCATGATGTACGAGTCAAAAATTATCTGCACTTTTCGTTCTACAATTTATTTAAACAAAAATAGGGGTTCAATGTGTGCATCATTTTTCAACATAGTCTCCTCCCTTGACAATGCACTTGGTCCAGCGGTCCACAAGCTTGCGTGTTCCTACCACGAAGGTTTTCGGTTGGTCGCAAAGCCACTTTTGCACCGCTTCCTGCAACCCAGATCTTGCTCCCTCCAACTTTTATCTGTACAGACGTAGACGTGCAAGCGGTGCAAAAAATGCACAGCCTGAAATCTTTGTTGTAGTATTATTGAAACACCTGGTTAGAAGCATCTAATCCTTTAATCGTTTAACAGCTAGACTTTCCTTCTCATTTTGAAAAAAATAAGAGTCACTCAACAGGTTAAAGAATATGCATTGTTCATAGTGCTAAAGCGAACAAAAGATTTGGATTTGAATATAAACTCCGTCCTGAAAGGGTTAAATGATTTTATTATTAAAAATGATTGTAAGCGAAATATCCTAATGCTTCTAAGGCCGAGGAAACGACAAGGAAACCGAAGAAGGAACATTTAAGTAAAGCCCAGAAGCGTAGACAATGGAACAAAGCGGATGGCAAAGGTGAAAGACCGCGAGGATGGAACTGGGTGGACATAGTGAAACATTTATCGCAGACTGGGCCAAGAACGGAGGAGGAATCGTAACTTAATATTTTGTACAGTATGAAAAGCGTATTATATTTTTATAAATTGTTGAAAGTAAAACCATTTCCTTATGCATTTTCCAAGGTGGTTTTATTCTCATATATTACTATTATTGATTTTTAATTATGGTCAAGTAGAAAAAATTATTTTAATAAAGAACACTTAGCAATTATAAGCGTAATCGTTTCTCAGCGATTGATTTCTAGCGGTTCACCGATTGTATGATAATCAAATCTCCATGCGCCAACTGCTAGCAGATTTGTTTCCGTTTTCCATCCTAGAATTATTAGTTATATACATATTTGCCTTCACGCTAAACCATTGATAAATATCGATTTAAATTACGACATTACGTACCATTTACTTCTAAATTGCTAAGAAAAGCTTTGTACTCATCGTCAACGATTACGTCTACAGCACGGATAGCTACAATCGACAGTTGTACATCACTACCTGAATTCGTAAGCCTCTTGTGCAGAATGTACGTTCTCAGCAGTAGGTATGATATTTCAGACGTTTCAGGTTTCAATAGCACGTCCTATATAATATTACAGTATAATTACAGTAAAATGTAGATTAATGATTGAGGCCCGGTTTCACCAACATTGTTTAACTTTAAGCTTAGCTTAATTCGTTCTCTTTCCGACTGTTACCTCGGAAAGAAACATAAATTAAAGATTAAGCGACGTTTGGTGAAACCGGACTTAAATATGTAAAAAGTGGTGGATTTCTTACTATCGGTATTTTTTGTGCTATACACAGATAGAAAGCACACACGGAAGCGTAAAAGTATGCTTCCAGTATTTCAGTCGGTTGTACATTTCTTTTGAGGGTGATGAATATATTCCTTCGTTCCATGTCTATCGTTATTATATACTTTCTCTTTTCAAAGAACTTTAATAAAACTTCCGTTTCCACGGGTGAAATTATATTTCTTTTCAAGATGCTCGCGAAGGATACACCAATTCTTATATCAAAACCATGCACGCTTCTGGCTAGAAGTGAAATTCACAAATTGTTAGAAGGCTTTTTACACGGCCAAAGTAAATAATAGGATAATTTTAATATCTTACTAGGATTTTTGAGCAGAAATACCGATTCCTCTTTATTCACTTTACGTGGACCGGCAATTCGCTCGTTCATCATGTAATTTTGCACGATTATAGCCAGACGATCTTCATTGAGCGTGTCTAAACATAATGCTTTAACCGCCGAATAATTTGCATACAGATGGACTGCCACCAGGAAGAGATACAATTCTAATAAATATCTATAGAGAAAAGTCCCCTGTTACAAGATAGGCTTCTAATGTGAGGTAGCAGGTTTTCAACGTTCAAATTCAATGACAAATCTTTTTTCGCACTGATATTGCACGATCCAACAATGAATTTTTTACTAAACAGATTTTATTGCAAGAGCAATAAATTCATGGTGGAATCACTAAATGATGCCTGTTAATTTAACAGAAACCCCGCTATCTCATATTAGAAACTTGCCCCATAATAGAGGACTTTGCTTCACGTATTTCATCAGCATTATTAAAAAAAGTTCATAATAGCAGTCAGACACGATAAATATACCAGATACATACTGTCCATCGTGGAATAAGGACAATATGAAGATTCCAAAGAAAGACGCGATTAGATTTACACAGGTCTCCTGACTCCCGTCTTTCGCGGAGACATCTGCCACGTTATTCTGTACCGCCTGTGGCAAGCAAGCTGTCTTAGCCATTGAAGCTACAACGAACGTACAAATAGATATTCACCTGGTGATGAATCATTGCCGTTCTCGTAGCTCCACCGGCAACACCGACGATAGACTTCATAGTCGTCGAGATACACAGAATCGAGACAGAGTACGAGGAAAAGTACGGCACAAGTAACTCTATCCCTTTGGCTACGTCGTCTAAGACATCGGCGAATAGTCTCCACTTTTTGCACTGCCCATCCAATTCAGTTCTACGACAGAAGGAAGAGGGGAAACTGCGTCGTCGAGCGCGACGAGGGTGCGCTAGCGGCTGTTCGTGGAGAATATTTTCGTTTTCGTTTCTTACCCATTCCACCATGCGAACATTATGCTGCCAATCATCCCAGTGCCGCTCTTCAGGATCCACGTTATCGCTGCTGCCAAGGGCGTAGCACTCGACTCACCGACTCCTATCCCTTTCATTATGGAATGAGTCGTCAGCGTGCTCGTTATAGTACTCGCAAACGCCTGCAAAATGTTAATTTCATCTCTCCGCGAGTCGTCTCGTCCGCAATGTATCCCGCGAGCAAGATGATAGCAGCACGTCGACAGACTGAATGTGTTAATTTATAG